AAGGACTTGAAAAAGGATCCCAATTGACTATGGTCTTTGACGAAGCTTCCAATGCGCTCAACAATGGCATTGGTGCTGTGATTATCTCTCCCGAAGGCTTCCCTACACCCTTCACTACCAGATTATGTTTTAATTGCACCAACAATATGTCCGAGTATGAAGCATGCATTACAGGTATCAAGGCTGCTATTGATATGAGGATCAAGTTCTTACAAGTATACGTAGATTCAACCTTGGTGATCATCCAAGTTAAAGGAGAATGGGACACGAAGCATCCTAATCTCATCCCTTACCAGGAGCATATATTAACTTTGATCCCATATTTTGAAGAGATTACCTTTGAACATGTTCCACGAGAAGAAAATCAGTTAGCGGACGCGCTAGCTACCATATCGTCCATGTTTAAGGTCAGATGGGATAACGAAGCCCCTCAGATCACTATCAAAAGATTAGACGGACCGGCCCACTGTTACGAGATTAATGTTGAGGGAGTAGAAGAGAAGCCTTGGTTCCACGAGGTGAAAAGGTATCTCAAAGCTCAAGAGTACCTTGAGGGGGCGTCCATCAATGACAAGAAGTTTTTGAGAAGGTTCTCTGCCAAGTTCTTCCTCAGTAACGGAATTCTCTACAAGCGCAACCATGATTCCACTTTACTTCGTGTATGGACAAGAGGGAAGCAGAGAAGATTATGGAGGATATGCACGAAGGTACCTTTGGCACCCATTCTAATGGGAACACGATAGCTAAGAAGATTCTGAGGGTAGGTTACTATTGGTCCACTATGGAAACAAATTGTCATCGTCACTCCCGAACTTGTCACAAATGCCAAATCTGTGCTGACAAAGTACATGTGCCTCTGGTTCCTTTAAATGTCTTGACTGCTCCTTGGCCATTCACCATGTGGGGTATTGACATGATTGGATATATTAGACCTACCACTTCCAATGGACACTGCTTCATCCTTGTCTCCATTGATAACTTCACGAAGTGGGTCGAGGCAACCTCATTTGCTTATGTTACCAAGAACGTTGTAGCTCGGTTTATCAGACATAATCTTATATGTTGGTATGGTATCCCAGAAAGAATTATCATAGATAATGGTACCAACCTCAATAATACTATGATCACCGAGCTCTGTACGCAATTTAAGATCTAACATCATAACTCTTCTCCTTATCGGTCGAAGATGGATGGCACTGTGGAGGTCGCCAATAAGAATATAAAGAAGATTATACAGAAGATGATGGTAACATATAAAGACTAGCACGAGATGTTACCCTTTTATCTTCATGGTTACCACACCTTGGTGCGCACATCAACAGGGGCAACCCCTTTTTCTCTCGTATACGGTATGGAAGTTGTCTTACCCATCAAAGTCCAGATCCCTTCCCCGAGAATCATGAAGGATGCAGGTTTAAACGAAGACGGATGGATTCAGACCCAACTTGACCAATTGAACTTGATTGACAAGAAAAGGCTCGCGACTGTTTGTCATGGTCAGATGCACCAGAAACATATGATCAAGGGTTTTAACAAAAAGGTCAGACGTCAGGTATATCAGATTGGTGACCTAGTAATCAAGCACATCATCCTGCCACAAGGTGATCCCAGGGGTAAGTGGAATCCTACATACGAAGGACCATTTATGGTCAAGAGTACGTTTTCTGGTGGGGCTATGATATTAACCACTATGGACGGAGACGACCTTCCGCACACTGTAAACACGGACATAGTTAAAAGATACTACGCATGAAAAGAGACCCGCTAGGTTGACTGGCCTATGCAAAAATAAGGGCATCCCGGCGAACCAAAAGGGTTTGGGTAAAAATCAGGGATATATACATAAAAAATCTGTACACATGGCAAGTCGAAAACTTGAAAAGGCGGCTTGGGCAAAAAAGGGTATCACGGTGGACTAAAAACCCGAAAGGGCGGTCCAGGCAAAAATTAGGGATTAAAAGCGTATGACTATATCCCTTCGGACCACCTTACGTCCAGTCTTCATTATCAAGTGTGAAATTTGAATGGTAAGAATCAATCCAATCAGCTTATGCCAAGTAGCAAAGTGATGAGACGCTCAAAGATATAAAGAAAATAGCAGTGGGAACCCAATGAGATTATTTCACATAGCTATTTTTCTTTGTGTACCACTTTGTATATTTTTAAGTTTTTACGACGACATTCTCTTATTAGTATGTTCCTCTTCTTGTACAAAGACGCCTGTTATAGACAGACTTTCTCAAGTTAATACAAAACTACCTCTTTTAAAGTTCAAAACTATTTGTTTTTATTTTTCTGTTTTCTTTGCAAAAACGTCCATTGATTATTTTAAATGAACATATGCATTTGAATATGATTATCGTTTACGAATGCATGCATAAAAACATAAAGACATTTACTAAAGGCTCTAAGGGTTAGGACAATGTCGAAAAGCCATATGTAAATCCCCACAGAGCAAACACCCCTAGGGGATTATCTTCACAAGATTCATCATCAGCAATGATACATTCGTCAGTAGGTACAAAGATAGGGGCATCCTCCCGCAATTCACAGCCATATCTTCAGCATATAGCCTAATGATTTCAGATCTTCTAACATTTCTTAACATATCAAGAAGTTCAATTGTTTCCCTAGCATCTTGGATAATTCCCCATCATGGTCAATGGATTTCTTGGGTTTCCCAATAGATTTTCATAAAATCCCCAAGCAATTTATGAAAGTTCTTTCCCTAGTGGAGTTTATTTCTCTAGCTACGGAAGTCCATCCCCCAACGAAGTTTATTTCTCCAAATTGATAAAATTTTCCAACATAACTCTTTTCTCCAGCAGGATTGATCAAGATAACCACCTCCAGAGGAGTAGCCACTCGCATCAGAGCACTAATCATTTTTCCATCCCCAGTCAGAGTGCATGTAATCCATCCATTTCAAGAACCATGACAGGTTATCAACTCTCCTAAAAAGCTTCTATACTCAAGCAGGAGTCAAAATCTCCAATGGAATATTCCTCAGACAGAAAGCGGGGATCCCGACAAATTTTAACTTTAACAAGTAATCGGGAATATCATTCTTCATCTCCGACAGCGAGCAAGGATTTTATTTTCCCCAGTTTAATGACACTACAAAGAGCAACTGGTACGCTCACATTCATACATCATTTACAAACTTCATAGCATACACATACAAAACACATACATCACAATCTCATTTATTTTGAGAACTTTGTTCCGCAATGCATTTCACACATCATGACATTGCATACAACTAACTCTTTACCGTTTTAGGAAAAGATAAATAAACAAGACCAACATCATCAATTACTGATAGGACCAAGCAGTCTTATCAAGAGGCAACGACCTCTGGCTTGGAATAAATCAACCAAAGATTTTATTCTGATACTTCTTCCAGTGGATATTCTTCTAGATCAACTTAGATAAGGTGTAGATCTATTCTGATACTTCTCCCATGTGAAGACATTTTTTGGCTCAGATAACACTTACACCATCTCTCCATGACAAATTTCAGGTCTTGGTATTTACTCTCCTTCTACCTTGAATGATCGAAAGGCTGACGCCAATCTCACTTTCAGGTTTTAGACGATTAAATAGAGACAACTGTCATACCCCAAATTTGTCCTAACTTTTCACTTTTATTTGGCTTAGGCTTTGCATTTCATTTGCATCATTTTTGCTAGGTAATTTGCATATTATTATTTCACTCAATAAAGCAGCGGTTCAAAACATCAGTGGTTGTGCCATCCAGGGTTTAATTTTGGTTTGAGGTTTCTTCATCAGATAAAGACAAATCCATTTGGTTCTTGAATAGTGAACTATACAGAATTAGGGTTTTGGAGTGTGGTTCATGGATTTCTCGTCTCATCAAGTTACAAGGCTATTCTCTTTTTCTCAATCATCGAGGCGCAAGATTTCCTTCGTCTAGAACCAAGATTAGGATTTATTTCCCTACACAAGCTCAAAGATCATGGGTTAGGTGTTCTTCAAAAGTATTTCAATGTTGAATCTTGTGAACTAAGGTTTTAAGGTTTTTGTTAAGACATAAGGTATTGATATTTCTCTTGAGGATCCATTGATCATTAGTGCAAGAATTCTTGTTGTTTGAGTTATAAGGCGTGCACCATGGTACGAATGAAATTGCCTTAGATTCAAATTTGGGATTAGAGTTTCTTCAAGAGATTAGCATGGTTTATATGGATTTATTCTTTGAACTTTTTCAAGAAACATTCAAGTTGAGAAAGAAGCAAAGTTTGAATTAAAGTCATGACATGACAAACTTTGGTTCAAGAATTAGTTTTCAAGATTTTCATGAGTTGAAAAGATGAAAAAAGGAATTTATTTCAATTTGGTCCAAAACTTCAAGCTTCCAATATTTGAGCCTCATTGGAATTCAAACATGATAAAGTTGTACTTAGGTTCATGTTTTTTCCATGTTACAATTCTCATGAACCAAATCAAGTTGACAAAGTTAATTCAAAGTTCATGGTTTTCACCTATCTTCAAGCATGTCAAGAATTCAAGTTCCATGAATTAATTCCACATTACTTTTTTAGAGTCGCAAGAACAAAGTTCGATACTTTTCCTTAGTTGCATTGCATTTCAAGAATAGTTCAAGTTTCTACAAATATCAAATTTATTCATCAAGCTATTTCATGTTTCTACAATTGTTAAGTTACAACAAAAGGAAGATAAAACTCAAGTTTTTATGCCTAAAGCCTTGATTCAATCTCTTGAAAGATTCCAACAATCATGCCTTTACCATACTTTGAACCATATTGCTTATAGAGTTACTAAGCCTAAACCTAATCCCAATGTCCTAAACCAACCCCATAAACCTCCAAGAGCCTGCTGCTATTACTATCCCAAGTCTGTTGTACTTGATATCCAAAATAACCATGTAATAATACCAAACATACAGTCCAAAATAATATTACTATGTTGTTGTCCACAAAGCTTAAAACAACATATACTTGTCCATAAACCAGCTGCTATAAACCCTTCAAAACAGAACCTGCTGTTGCCCCATACTGCTCATAAGATGCCACAAAACCTGCTGCCAAATGCCTTGTCTTAATCCCGCATAAAACAACAAAAACCCTCTTGCTGTCCACTTCATATACCAGTCCCAAAACCTGTCAAAATAGTCCAAAAAGACATCTACTACTACCATATACATACAAAACAACCTGCTAAAACTGTCAAAACTACTGCAAACAAATGCTAAACATTACACAAAATAGAAATTACAAAATCTGTAATGAAAAAGTAGTAAATCAGTGTGCTAAAATTGTTTAAAGTTATTCCATTTTCCCTCATAAACTTACCAAAGATTTGAGCTTTAGTTCTCTATATAAAAAGCATGAAAACCTGAGACAAAAAAAGACCATACTTCTGTCCAAATCTCCACTCTACTCAAATCCTCCATACTCCACTCTTCAACCTTCAAATTCACAACCCTATCCACTACCAACCTTCAACCATCGTATTCAGCAACAACCCTTTAACCTCACCCTTGTTCAACTCCCTCGTACCTGTTACAAACCATTCTGCATCAACACACCATAACGTTCAAGCTTCCTGTGCAAATTCCAAAATTCATTTATCAACAATAACAACAAGGCACAACATCCCACACTGACTAAATTCAACACTGATACAATACTTGCACAAATCTCACCCAGAAACACATCATACTCAGAAAGAAGAAGAGAAACAGAAACAATTTGTACTTATAATCGACACCAAAATCTCCCCTTTGGTATTCGTTCTTTCGCATATCTAAAAACGTTGAAGAAAATCGATTCAAATTTGCACAAAAACCTTCTTCATCAATCTGCTCAATATCATTCACCTACAACATCAACAGGGCATCCACATCACGACAAAACTCCTTCCAGCATAAATCAGGACTTCTGCCCAAAGTCGTGAATCTATAAAATTTAATAAACCTCAAAAAGACCTTGCAAAACTCATACTTTGCATACAAAAGCATTGCAATTATCTTATGTTACCTCAAAGCGCAACATCATCAGCAACAACACAAAGCTTACACAAAAGGGAAATAATATTAGAATCATCAACCTAAATTTTTGAACTTGTTTCAAGAAAATAGGTTTATTGAGCTGAAGGAGAAATTTCAAAGCATCTAACCTTGCCGGATTCAGAATATAAGTCGAAAAATCCATTGAAATCGTCTGAGTCACGTTCGGTTTATTTAATCTCTCCCTTCTTTGCCTTTCACTTTTTTGGTTATTGTGTAATGTATATGTTGTTATGTGCATTGCATGTTTGAATCTTGCCATAAGATGTTATTTCTTCATTTTTATGGCTTGCAATCCTGAAAGTTGGATGTTGATTGTGTTGACAGAAAGAAAGCGTGAGATTTCGAGAGAGATACCGAGGAAGAATCGAGATAATTTGAATCATTTTTACTAGTATTAAACTGAGAATCAATGAACATCAATTGGGAGTTTTCGTTGATTATGTTTCGATTGAGAAGAGGAATGTGTGTAAAGAGGAAATTTTAAATGAATTTTACGGTTGGTTAAGAAGAGGCGCTAGTCTCATGTATGGTTTAGGGTTTCTTTTCAACCAGTATTACTCTATAGAGGGCTGGACCCGACCCGGTCCATGTTAAGCCCAATACTTTTTTTATCATTTTTAATTTTCTTTATTGTTACCACTTGGTTTTTTTTTCACTTCTTAGCCCAATCCGATTTTCTATACTTTCTCCCTGATTCTAGTCTTTTCCCCTTAGGTTTTCCTCTTTGCCATTATTTTTACATTTTGTTTGTTTTGTTAATTGTTTAGAGTTGATTTCTATCTTCTTTAAAAAATGATAAAAATTTTAGAATTAATTTCTTTATTATTTCTTATGCTTGATAATTCAAAATATTATATTTACAATTTTGATTTCCTTTTAATTTTAAAATTTTTCTTTTTGATAAAAAAAATCACAAAAATTTTAGAATATAAAAAAATTAGGATTTTTATTTTATTTTTAAGATTATTATTTCTTTTGTTTGATAATTAAATGGTTTTTAGGTTTTAATTTCTTCATGTCATAAAAATAGCAGATATTATTTTCTTTTTATCTTTGTTTGATTGTGTGGATTATGTTAACATGTTCCCTTAGGAACTCCATTAAACGATTAAACTTTGTTTTGATCATTTTTATGTTGAGTTAGACATTAGGTTCTTATCCATGCATGCTAACTTAGATATAAGTTACCCTTTCAAACTTTAACCTTAGAGCCACCATTGTAAAATAACATTCGGGCTAGAAGCTAGGTCAGTTTCCCTTAGACTTTTTCATCTCCCCCTTTTGCATTTTTAAAATAAAAACTTCTTATTCAAAAAATCCAAAAAACACTTAATCATTATTCAAACCCATTTCACACTTAACAAAAACACACAACAAATTTAAAATAAAAAAGGGCATGTTATCTTCGTTCTATCGCGATACAAGCTATACCTATTGCTAGAATGCATGCGCTAACATCGCCCATATAAAACACCAACAAACCAACATTTTCTTGAAGAACTACGGTGTTTTGATTCCTTCTTGGGATACATAGGCAAAGGGTTGCGAGACCCTCACGAACACACTAATAAAAATCATTTCATTTCCCTTAGCAAGTAAAGTTTTAGATAGACGCACCCTTAGAAACAAACAATCGAAATAGATCTCGTTGAGTACAATGGATGCGAAGGGTGTTAATACCTTCCCCTCATATAATTGACTTATGTACCCTATCTTTTGATTGCAAGACCATCTTATCCATCCTCTTGGGATTTTCTCGTTATTTCCACTTCCTTTGGGATAAATAAAGTTCGGTGGCGGCTCTGTGTTTCTTGTCGGTCGCTTCAGGGGACCCTTACAAGCTACCCTTCGAAGAATGTAAAAACACAAGAAAGGAGGGTTTGAATTAGGATTTTTAAATCTAAGACAAAATGACACTTGATTTTTATCCTGGTTCCTTTGAACTCAAACTACTCCAGTCCACCCGCCAAGGTGATTTAGCCTCTCTCAAGAGAGGTCTTAATCCACTAATAGAACTTGATTACATAATCACAAAGACTACCATCAATGTCTTCTTGAGTTTAAACCACAACTTGGTTTCTCAAGGTATTAGAAAATATGAATAAAAAATGTGTACAGTAGTGTTTCTAGAAAATTATATCACAACTGTGATTTTTTACACAAAGTTTAAGCACACTTAAGATAATATAAAAGACAGCTTAAGAGTGTTCTTTGTACGTATGTATATCAATCTGATTTCTTCTTTAAGTCTTCTTTATATAGGCAAATCTTTTGAGAAACGTTGGAGACACCAAAATATATTTTTGGAATGTTGATTAATAGAGATGAATGCACTTTCCAAAAACGAAGATCTTGTCCGAAAACATCTGTTACTTTATGATGAGCTTTTAAATGAATTGTAACGCTTCAGAATAACTTCAGTACTCAGAACATGATACATCATAGTTTGACTTGCACTTGCTGCTGAGTCTTTAGAACTTTAGTTTGAGACTTCTTTTATTCTTCCAGAACTTCTCTTACCAAAGTCAGAATTTTACTTGCAACATTTGGTGCTTCAGAAGTCATAACATAGAACTTCTTCATTTAGCGTTTTACACGTATTTTCTTCTAAGTATGTTGTGTCTTAACAAATATTTAAAACAAAACTCTCTTATCTTCTTGCATCAGAACTTCCAGATGTTCTAGAAGATCTTCTATGCTTTTTACATCAGAACTTCTATTATGTTCTAGTAGATATTTTCTCATCTTCTAGGCTTCTTACATTAGAACTTCTCTACATATTAAAATACTTTATTAGAGAGCATATATGTTCTTTATATATATATCATGTGTTTGTTATCATCAAAATTCTTACAAGGATGTAGAACCAAACTATGTTCTAACAATCTCTCCCTTTTTGATGATGACAAAAACTTCTATATTTTGATAGAATACTGAAAGAACATAAAGCATAAAAGTCTCTGTAGCGGTAGAAATGTTTAAGACTAAGCCATTAGATTGACTAGACTTATAAAGATCAAAATAAAAATCGCCATCACGCTTTATTGTTTCTAAAGAAATGGGAAAAGAGCGAGTAACCCAAAAAGAGGGGGAAATATTCAAGGTAAGTGGGTTGGTTATGCAATGGTAAGGTATTAGCACCCTAAACATCTACGGTACTTCGCAGGAACCTCTTTGTAAAATCTGTATATTTTGGCTATAAAACATTGTATAAAAAATAGATGGTGGAGGTGAGAAAAGAGATATATTTTTTATGATTTTTTGTACCCGTCGCGGTTGCGAACCTTTAGTGCCTATGTACCACCTTTTGTGTAATAGTGGATCAAGGTACACGTAGTTCATCTTTTAAAAATTTTAAAAAAATGTGTGTTGGTTACTTTTATGAGATAAGATATCATCGTCATTGTTTGTATGGAAAACATACTTACTACGCACAATCATGAGAAAGGAGAATTTGCATCATCTCAAAGTGGAGGATATGGCTTGGATTTTAAAATCAACAATGCCTCCCTCAACACCCAAGTGGAAAATATCTCTTTTTACTACATATTGTAGAAGTATAGTTGTTTGCATCACTACAAGGATTGACAAGAGTCCAATCTTTTTAGAAAAGTTTAAAGATAAAAGCCAAAGTGGCAAAATGGTTTGAAATAAGATTGATTGACTTTTAGTCTTCTAAACAAAATGTCAAAGTATTATTAAGTTTATTGAAGTTTATTTATGAAAAGGTTTTGAAAATGCATGGACCTAAGTCCAAGTTTATTATGAAAGTGGTTCAAGTTTCAAAACAAGAAGAGTTTTCAAAAGGAGGAAGAAGATTTTTGAAATTAAAGAAGATGGGAGGAGATGAAGAGACTATCCTAAAGCATAAGGTAAAAGCTAGGGTTAAGAACCATCTAACCAACAAAAAGCCAATACTTGACATTATGAGTCAAGATAGAATTCTGATTCTTTGGATTGAAGCCAAGCAAGCAAAGATACTAGATTTGTTGAGAGAACCAAACTTCAAGTGTATTAAGTCTTCACAAAAATTGGGCAGACTAACGGTTGTATACGGGTAAATTCTAGATTACAAACAAAGTATGTAATCACAATAACCTGCACACAAAACAAACAAACAACTCAATGTCTTGAGGTAAACCTCAAGAACTCCAGACAAAATATCAATTAAGGCCACAAGGTCTCCAACATAGGCCAAAGTTTCTAATCCTAAGTCCAAGATATCCAATAATCCATAATGCCAAGGATAGTAACCAACTTGTCCAAGTATCATTAAAGATTTTTATGGTTCATGTTGATTATTAGGTGTCTTAAAAAGAAAAGAAAAGCTCAAGTGACCAAAATAAATATAACAAGAATATAAATGCTCAAGTGAGCAAAAAAATGAAAATGGTATGAAATGTAATGCTTAAAGTAAATGGTACATAAAGCATAAAAATAAAAGCATAAAGTAAAAACAATTTAATAATTAGTGGTTAGTTGGACGACCATCTTGAAACTTGCATTTGGAACTCATTAGAGGAGTGGTAGAACCAAAGCCTCCACACAACAAGTTACATTTACTTTTTGTCAAGTATATCATCCATTTGGAATCCTCAAAAGTACCATTTAATGATCAACGGTGTTTAAGTGATCCGCGTTGACCAAAAGTGTTGTAGACCCATTAGAGGATTGGTAAAACCAAAGCCTCCACACAATGAATCTCAAGGTTATTGGATCAAAGAGATCAAATCAACATACTTGGGCTTGCAAACATAGGTTTGGGCCACGAATGATCATTTTTTCGAATCGGGACAAAATTTAACGCTATGTTAAGCAATCGTAAGTGCACTTATATAGAAGTCGCACCTATTTTGAGGCCGATCAATAGCAATCTATGCACCATTTGTTTTGAGACATGCTATAGAGATCATGCTCCAATAACACTTAGTGCAATAAGAAAGGGATGAGCTGAAGAGGGGTGGGAAAGAATATAAACCACATTTGAATTAAAATTTAATCAAACTATTATTAAAATCATTCATCAATTTTTGGGGAGTTAGACTTAACACAATGGATCCAATGATGTTAATAAAGTTTATGATCAAAATTTTAACCTAAGATCATCCAGAAAATGATCACAAAATAATATTACATTTAATA